TTTTTTGGTTTTTTTTGAGACAGAGTCTTGCTTGTTGTCCAGGCTAGAGTGAGTGCCGTGGCGTCAGCCTAGCTCACAGCAACCTCAAACTCCTGGGTTCAAGCAATCCTTCTGCCTCAGCCTCCTGACTAGCTGGGACTACAGGTATGTGCCACCATGCCCGGCTAATTTATATATATATATATATATTAGTTGGCCAATTAATTTCTTTCTATTTACAGTAGAGACGGGGTCTCGCTCTTGCTGAGGCTGGTTTCAAACTCCTGACCTTGAGCAATCCGCCCGCCTCGGCCTCCCAGAGTGCTAGGATTATAGGCGTGAGCCACCGCGCCCGGCCTAATATGAGTTCTTTAGTATACATACAACATTGCCATCAATTTTGATAGTAGAGGAATATTAAAAGTCATGACACATAATATGATCTATACTTTTTCCCTTTTATTAAAGGTAGCTTGTTGAATTAATTAAAAAAATTAATTTTCATAACTATAGCTTCTAATAAAATTAATTTACAATCAGAAAAAGAATTCGGTGTGAGAAAATGTGCCTAGATTTTTGGCTCATATATTAGTCATCACTGCAAGAGCTGAGAGCAGGGAATGACTAATTTTGCCTGGGGAAGTCTTTTACAAAGAAGGTGACCTTTGAGCTGGGTCTCAAAGCATGAGTTAGCCAGACAGGGAAAGGGAGCATGTGCAAAGCACAGAGGCGTGAGAGAAGATGGCATATTGAACATAGGGTTTATGGACGTAGTCAAAGAAGATGTGCCATGATTACCCCACTTCCTGGTCCACCAACATACTCCCTTCTCCCTGGAATGTCTTTCCTGCCCCCCAGTCCCACCATCTACTTGAAGGGCTGAACTTATATTTTACCACCCTAGAAATCTCTGACCTCTCAGACTTGGGTAAGATAACCCTCTGTGATCCCATCACTCTTGGAGCTTATCACTATCAGAACTTATCTCATAGTATTGTAATTGCCTGGTCATTTTCTTCTTAAGGGCAGGTTCCATGTTCCCTGTTGTATTCCTAGCTGCTGGCACAGTGTTGAGCACACAGTAGGTGCTTAAGAAATACTCCTTAAATGAATCATTGATGGACCCTGAATATCTCTTCTCTTATCATTTTATTATCCTTCAGGTACTAGCCTAGAGCAGGCCAAAAAAGAAACACCGTGAATGGAGTATAGGTGTGCTGAGATGGCAGTTCCCCTCAGTCCTTGGGATGGCAGGGACTATGGCAGAGAAGCATTCTGGTCAGTCACCTCCAGTCAGGAGAAATCCCTTTCTATGTGTGCTGTGATACGAGAAACTTGGGGAAGTATTACCTCCTCTTGGGTGCTTATACATGGCACCCTCATATTAGCCTCTTGTCTGTGTCCCCAGCAGACCTCATGCTGAATGAATGGTATCTTTTTCACAATTGTGCCCTTACTGCCTAAGCCAGCACTCTGTACACAGTGTTCAGCAAGTATTTGTTGAATGAATGTATGAATGAGGTAAGAGCATTTGTGTTAAATTTTGAAAGACAGAATTTCAATGTGTGGAGGAAAATAGAAGTCCATGGAAAGGCTGGATACAGTGACTCACACCTGTAATCCTAGTACTCTGGGAGGCCGAGGTGGGAGGATCACTTGAGCCAAGGAATTTAAGGTTGCAGTGAACTACGACGTCGACAGAATGAGACTCAGCCTCAAAAAAAAAAAAAAGAAAGAAAGAAAGAAAAGAAAAAGTCCATGGAGAAGGACTACGATATAGAAGGAAAACTCTGTCTAAATTGTTCACTTTAAGATACTCAGGTCCTGGAAGAGCACCTGGCACATAACAGACATTTAATGAATATTTTCTTGATGAATAGAATGAAATGACAAGCAAACCCAGACAAAGATCTCTGAAAAATCTGGAGTAATACCAAGGAAGTGAACAATTCTTTTTGGCTAGAACAAATAGTGCAGTCAGAGAAATACTGACAAGGCTGGGTGCGGTGGCTCACACCTGTAACCCTAGCACTCTGGGAGGCCGAGGCAGGTGGATTGCTCAAGGTCAGGAGTTTGAAATCAGCCTGAGCAAGAGCGAGACCCCATCTCTACTAATAATAGAAAGAAATTAGCTGCACAACTGAAAATATATAGAAAAAATTACAGGCATCGGTGTCCTGCTCTACGATAATATATCCTAATATCATTATACTTGGAACCATTCACTGCACTCGGGCAGGCAGGGGCAGGGGATCATTTGAGCTCAGGAGTTCAAGATCAGCCTGAGCAAGAGTGAGACCCCGTCTCTATTAAAAAACTAGAAAGAAACTAGCTGGACAACTAAAAACTACATATATAAAAAATTAGCCGGGCATGGTGGCACATGCCTGTAGCCCCAGCTACCTGGGAGCCTGAGACAGAAGGATCACATGAGCCCAGAAGTTTGAGGTTGCTGTGAGCTAGGCTGACAGCACAGCACTCTAGCCGGGGCAACAGAGCGAGACTCTGTCTCAAAAAAAAAAAAGAAAGAAAAAAGGAAAAAAAGAAATATACTCTAGTTTGGAACTTGTTGATATTGCTTTCCCTCAGTTGCTTCATCCTTGTTTATGCATAAATAGAATTATAGCTCAAAGTCACCTGAAAGCTTTCATAGGAAATTATGTTCCAAAGAGAAGATTCCAAAGGGAAAAACAATAGAAAAAGAAAATATTTTTCCAAAGGGAATCACAAGTAAAAAATATATATTAAAAAATTTTTTTAGGCCAGGCGCAGTGACTCACGCCTGTAATCCTAGCTCTCTGGGAGGATGAGGTGGGTGGATTGCTCAAGGTCAGGAGTTCGAAACCAGCCTGAGCAAGAATGAGACCCCGTCTCTCCTATAAATAGAAAGAAATTAGTTGGCCAACTAATACATATAGAAAAAAAAATTATCCGGGCATGGTGGCGCATGCCTGTAGTCCCAGCTTCTGGGGAGGCTGAGGCAGCAGGTTTGCTTGAGCCCAGGAGTTTGAGGTTGCTGTGAGCTAGGCTGATGCTATGGCACTCCATCTACCTGGGTAAAAAGTGAGACTGTCTCAAAAAAAAAAAAATGTTTTTTAAGTAAAAATTAAAGAAAAAGAAG